GTGAGTTCTTCTCTTATTGATAATATTAGTACGAAAGTGTCGAAAATGGAACGAGAGATAGATTACATGGATAATCAGCGAAGAATTAATAATGTAATAATACATGGTTTGGAGGAAGGGGCTGGAGAATCGGCTAATGATACTTTAGAGGCAGTTAAACTCTTTGCTATGAATAAGCTGAATTTGCCTGTGTTGAGATATGTTGATGCTAGGAGAGTTGGAAAGAAATTTGGTGATAGGCCTAGAATAATAATTTGTCAGTTTGGGTCTCTTAATGATAAATTATCTTTTAAAAAAGCTGTTTTTGAGTCCCGTAATTTGAATGTATTTGTTAATGATGACTTTTCGCAACGAATAAGAGATATAAGGTATAAGTTAAGGATGTTTGGAAAACAGAAGAAATCTGAAGGTGCTCAGAAAATCCGTTTAACTTATGATAAAATATTTATTGATGGAGTGAAATACGGATATGATGAGAATTCGGGTAAAATTATTGTTGTTTCTTCATAGCAACCACAGTCCCAGTGTACCTCTATAATGATATTGAATTGTGCTGGTATTAAAAATAAACCGTATTCATTTTGGAGATATACATCGCAATTTGATTTAGTTTTTTTGTCTGAAACCTGGTATTCCTCTAAAAGTGATAAAAATAATCTGGAAGTTTTATCGGATTATAATTGTATTACTGGTAATGCTTTTAGAGACGGTGGTAGGGGTAGATTTAAGGCTGGATGGTTGCTATTTATACAAATTTGCTTTTGTTATAAAGTACTTTATAAAGATGATTTTGTGGTTTTGATTAATATTATATTCCCTGTGGGAGAATTTTTGTTATGTTTTGTATATATGCAAGAACATAGTTGGCAAGAAATATTTGAGACACTAAATAATTTTGATTTCAATGAAGANAAACACGGTAGTAGAGTCTCTCGAGTCTCCGTAGATAAAACAAACACAGAAATAAATAACACAAAATAAATTGTAGCTATATGTTGATTCTGCGCGACAAGTCCGAACATGCAAGCCGAACAATATTGTGGGGGAAGTTTATAATTGCGTGTTTCATCAATTTACCATCAGAATGCATTTTAATGAAACATGAAATTATAAACTAATGTATATATTATTTTATGTTATTTTCTTATTTTCTCCATTGTATGCTTTATGAATTTGAATTTAGTTTTTGGAACGTTGAGGTTTCAATTCGCTCGCTAAACCTGAGAATGGCCTATAGAGTAGAAACGTTAGTTTTAAATAAAAGGCAAAATAAAAGGTGGGATATGATAATTTAATTATTATTGTTGAACAGGTTTTGTTTAATATTAATAATTATTTTTGTAAAACTTTGTTTATCTATCTACCAATGAGAAAATAAAGTTCTGATAAGTTAGAAAATCACTTATTAAAAATATAATGAAAAATGACATGTAATTAAATTAAATTTTAATTTTTTTTCATTCAGAATTAGCAGATTGGTAGATAGTGGTATATACCAAAAATTGAAACAGAATGATTTGCCTGCAGAGGGAAGTATCAACAAAGAAACCTATTATTCACTTAGTATCGAAGACATTAGCAGCACTTTGATATTATTGGTGTGTGGATATAGTATCTCTGTTATAATTCTACTTGTTGAAAAACTATTAAAAAGATAATAATTTAAATTATTTCACAAAAAATTATAAAAAAATATCTGAAAATTAAACATGGTATTTCTATAAATACATTTATGCAACAATTATAATTGCACTAAAAACTAATATTCGTTTTCAAATATAAAAATTATGACATCTGTTATTTCACAATATAAATAAAGTTGTTAGATAATATTACATTATATTATTGTGAAGTTGATTCATTTACGTGTAACTGTCTAATTTGAGCTAAGCTAATGAATAAAATAAAATAAATAGTGTTACAACTCTACTAGAGGCAGCCAAAAAGCTTTTGCTAAATTCTTTTTCAGAGTAAAGATTTTCAGGCAGAAAACAAATAGAAAGGATGATTGGTTTATTTAATACGATGAAGTAACCTAACTCGTGGAGAATCTGTACAAGCAATATGCCGAATAAAATAAAATAATAATGTATACATGTAAATCGTGTGATATAAAGTAAATATGGTAGAGTGTGATTTTCTGGACCCAGATACCACATTACTTGCTTTGTTCCCGATTTTGCCGGAAGAACCACGTGGCTCGAAGACGTGTGACGAGAACGTTTTCAATCTCCTGCACGACATACTCTAAACATTCAACATTTATAATTGGAGTAAGCTTCCTTTCCGTTATAAATTTAAAACTTTGCTGAACACATATGTACAGATCAAGCATAAATGAATTACTTTCAGAAGGAGTTCGTATGGAAAACTTTTCTCTGTATAAAAGTGAAAAACATGAAGAAACCCGGATAAACTCCACTTGCCCAGCTATTGCTAAACTGTAGGACTTAACCTGTGATTTAATGCACTTGTAAGTGGTGGGTTATACAAAATAAAGGAATAAGAAATATTAAATTTTGGTTAACTCTAAGATTTCATAAAAATTGTTCTTAAGAAAACGTGTTAATTATTTATAATGTTTCTTGATATGTTGCTTATAAGAACTTGCACGTAAACTTAATTCTTATATATTGTAGATAATATTGTGTTGAGAGTGGTTACACCACTCACAGTCAGTGTATTATATGATGCTAAAAAAAT